TGTCCCCTGTGGTCTTTAGCCAGCCTCTTTATTTTTCAATAGTGGTCTAGGTTTTTAAAATCTACATCTTCAAATAATATCATTCCCATTTACTTCTGAAGAAAATCTGCCTCTGTTTCCATTAGATCCAGGCTCCTGTTACATGTGTGCTGTGTACCTCTTACTCTTGGTCTTGGTCCACAAGTCAGTGACACACTGTCTAGTTTGTTTTATTTTGTTATGTTTTTTTTGGGGGGGGTGTCTGTTCTGTTTGCTTTTTGTCTCTCTGTACTTCATTTTGAGTAGTTTCTAGAGCTGTATCACAAGTTCACTGATCTTTGGTTCTATATTAACTAATCTGCTATTAGTCCAATATTTCTTTCATTTCAGACATTGTGTTTTTATTCTCAGAAACTGAATTTGGGTTTTTTGTTTTGTTTTTTTTAAAGAGATGGGAGGTCTAACTTTTTGTCCAGGCTGGCCCTGAGCTCCTGGGCTCAAGTGATCTTCTTGCCTAAAGTCCTACTAAAATCATTTCCAGATCTGTTTCTATTGATTTATTTTTTTCTTTATAGCTCTTATTTTTTCATTTTCTGTGCCTTGCAATTTTTGATTGGATGCCAGACATTGTGATTTTTATGTTGTTTAGTGTTGAATTTTGATTTTTGATTTTTTTCCCAAGATTTTTGAATTTTGTTCTTTCAGTTGAGTACCCTTTAGAGATTTGAGATGAAGTAGCAGCCTTTATTTTGGAGTAACTGAGCCCCTCTACTGAGGTGTGACCCCTGTAAGGACACTTCAGTGCTCTCTGTATGGTGAGTTATGCCCAGCTCTTTGTAACCTTCAGGGATCGTGTGGCCCACTGCTTTTCAGCCATGGGGAGCTTTTGCTGCCATTTGCACAGTTCACTATTCAGATGCACCCTGGAAAGGACTCCCTTGCAATTCTCTGGGCCTCTTCTCTTCTTCAGGCCCCACACTCTGGTGGTCTGTACCACAAATCCCAGCTGCCTCCGCTCCCCAGATACCAGTCTCCCTCTCTGCAGTTCAGGAAATCACGGGCTTTGCTTGGGTTTCTTGTCCCGGCCTGCAGCCTTGGAAGCTGCTTTGGGCAGTGGGCTTCCATACTTGTCAGTACCACCACATCTGTCTCCCTCTTCTCTGGTTTAATAGGCCTATGCTGCTTGTTGTGCAATAATTGAAAAACATTGTTTCATATATTTTGTCCTGTTTTCTTGTTTACCACGGCAAGAGGGTGAATTCTCATAGTATCTAATTCTTCATGGGCAAGAGTCTTGTCTTTTATTATTACAGTGTAGCTTGACAGTCTTTTTTTTAATCTCACATCATAGTAATACTAAAGATTTTGAATTAGTTGCAAGCAGCTGTGTTATTCTCAAAGCGTGATCTTGATCAGTCCTAAAATCTGTATATTCTAATGAGACCAAGGGACTCTTAACAAAGTAACAGTTCAGAGGGAAGGCCGATCTTGGATTCAGGTGTGTGGTTGTAGGCACAGTATGTGCCCATCTGCTCTGGGCCTTCCATGTCCACCCCTGCGTTCTCAGCACTCCCTAGGTGGGCAGTTCTCCAGGAGCACTGGTTGTCCTTGTTTTATACCTTGTTTATAAGCTTCTGAAGGACAGAACAGTGTCCCTGCTGGGACAGGGGAGTGAGCCAGACTGAGGCACTGGGAGCCACCAGGTCTTCCTGTGAAGTTCGTTCTTAATTAAATGTATGTGAGAATAAAAGTGGGCAACTCATAATTTCAAACACATTCTTAAATATGTGGTCTGCATGTACTATGAGAGCAGAATCCCAGGAACTCTGAAGAGCTTGGAGATGCTGCCCATCCCAGCGCGCTCCAGAGGGAAGCGGGCCACCTTGGTAGGAAGCTGAGCGCCCGGTGGGTCCTCACACCGTGTAGGCAGTGTTAAGCACTTGCTACAGACTGCAGGTGAAGCTCAGGGAAGTCAGACATGGAAGGAATGTAGATTTAGACCCACACTTGTCCAGTTTTTGAAACTGCTGCACCTCCCAAATAGGCGTTTTGTCTTGGAAATTGCCTTTCAAATGGCATTTTCCCAAGACCTTCGTCCTCTCCTGTGTCATGGTGAGTGTTGAGCTGAAGCCAAGGGCTCCACCCCATTATGGCCCTTCCTGACCCTGAGTGAAGCACTCTTTGCTGCAGAGTTAACTTCTCAGCGCTGCTTGGCCTGGGCCTTGGTGAGCCGGAGACTGTTAATGATGCATGTGCTTCCTGCAGGCCCCCGCAGGAGGAAGGAGCACTTGGCTCCTCAGTGCGAAACAAGCTGCCAGAGAGGACTAAGTACATAGCAGGCTAAAGATCACTTCCGGCATTGCCTAAATTTGGCTATAATCCTTTTGAAAAGGTTCCTCAACACCAAGAATTAGGACAAAATTTGAAAATTCCTGATATCTCCTGGCCTTCCTGTCAGGAGAATCTCAGGATTTGAGTCTCACACGGTATCTTGCGATGCAGATAAAAAGAAGCCAGTAAGAAGGTAGAGTCCTCTGCACTGTTCATTCTGCTTTTGACCAAATGCCCTTGATCCTTGGGATTCCGTACTTTTCAATCCACCTGGAAATACCATTTCTCTTTTTCAAAGCTCCCAGCCATAAATCAGCCATAATGGAAGGTCTCCTCACAGCGAGGGTGCTGCCCGGCCTCTGCCTCTGAAGTGTTCACCTGGCTTTCCCACAGCTGACTCCAAGGATTGGAGCCTTTTAATGCAATCTTCATGGCACGTGGTCACCACATCTATATGAAGTCTTTAAAATTTGTGTTTGATTGATAGCATATTGCTCTTCGCTGGTGAGGGGAACCCTATCGTTCCTCCTTGCCTTTGTGGATGTTAAGTTACTTGTCTGTGTACTTCCATGGCTGGGACTCCAAATGTAGAAATATGAAGGGAAAAGAAAAGCAACCCCACTCAACAGATCTGTCTGACTCTTAGGCCTGTTCTGTCTTCCAGGGTTAGAAAACCAAAATTCCCCTCCTACAAAGTAACCCAATTAGCAGGAAGAGATAAAAAATCAATTTGCCAATTAATTGATCAGTCAAATGCCACAGCTCTAGTAGAGGGGAAAGAAACTTCTTTCTTAAAAGCCTTGTCCAGGCCTGTCTTGTAGGTTTTCATTCACCTCTGGTCCCTCGATTCTATGTCAGCTCCAGTTGTCCCTTCTGTATTTCAGAATTTGCCTAAAACCTCTTCCTTCGTATTTCCATGACCTGTCTCTGAAATTATGTGAGTTTTTAAACTACAGTGTTGTGTCAGTGCGAGGTATTGCTACTAAATACAGCTCAAGATCTTCTCTAGAAAACTTTTTCAGGATAGCTTTAGCTTCCCATTCTTTTAAGTGATTCAGCTAGTATTTCAGCTTTAATCTATGTGGGATATACATGGGTCTCAGAATCTTAGCCATGAGTAAGATGAATAAGAAACTCTTCTCTTGCAAAGTTTATAATCTTTTGAGACTACTGTATTCACCATTTTTAATTGTTTCTTTAATATAATCAGAAACTCCCAGGGGGTGTCAAGGTGTCATTGTTAGCCTTAAAATATGGGCAGTGTCATGCTATGAGTTGAAAAATCATGGAGTTTGGATAAACAATTTTATCTCTTGAGTTTTAGTGGGGTGTGTGTGTCGCTCCCCACCTCTCCCTGCAGTGCTGGGATCAAACCCAGGGCTTTATACATGCTAGGCAAACTCTACCACTATGTTGTGTCCCCAGGTCTCTATTTTCTCATTTTAAAAATGTAAATAATACCTAATTACAAAATAGTTGTTAAATCTGATGAGATGATCATTTTAGTATACAAAGAAGAGTCTCGCTATATATGGCTGCTGCACTATGTCAGCTGCTCGCTCAAGCCTTCAGTGGCACCTCTCTTGATTTTCAAATTAAATGTACCTCAGCCCCCTTTGCACCCCCTTGACTAAGACCCCAACCTACTGTGTCAGCCTTCTCTCTGACTCCCTATAGATTCTTCACTCAAGTCAAGGTGCTGCTTCCTGAGTCCATCCTTCTTACCACGATGGCAAACCAGTAGGACATGCAGTTTCTCAGGCACCCACTGGGATATAAGGCTTCGGATGCTTATGGACATGTTTGCTTGATACCTGGTTTTAACATAGTGGTTTAGAATCTGGGTCCAGACTCTGCCGCCTCCTTGCTTATTTTCATACATTGGCTGCACAGGGGTCCAGCTGGGTGTCATTGGACAAGTCACTTCATCTCTCTAAGCCTCAGTGTCCTCACCTATAAATGGACAAGAGTAATCATTAGGGTGCTGTTGTGAGGATTAAAAATAACAATCCATGCAAATCACTGAACACAGTAACTAACACATAGAGAAAAGTGAAGTGGTGCTTTCCAGGTACCAACACAGCGGGTGATTGGAAACAGTGGGATTTGAAACCAGAATCTGTGGCTCCATCATCTGCCCCTTTCCCACTCTCCTGCCTCATACTGATCTCTACCTGAAAAACGTCCTTCCTGAGATCTAAATTGCCAGCCTGTGTCAGGGGCTGCCTTCTTCACCAAGCTCTCCTGGATTCCCATCTCAGTGTGATCTCCCTCAGAGTCCTTAGCCATATGTTACCCATTTCTCCAGAGCAGTGTGCAATGATGACTTGTGTGCCAGAGTATGAGCTATTTGACCCTGGGTGGGTTTCCCCTGAAGCGCAGAGCTTTTTGCACTAGGTAGATGCTTAATAAACAGTCACTTGAATTGAACATATGCAGTTAAGTCCCAAACAGAGAACTCCGGCTAGTGCCAGCTAGGAATAATTTGCTTGCGAAGGTGTCTCCTTGCCAGGCCCTGTGGTCCACACTTGGCTTAAGGAAAGAAGCAAGGCAGTGTGCCCTCAAGCAACTTGAGTTTGGTGGAATTGTTTTGAAACCAGGTGGTGATTCTCTTTTAATGGAGACAGTAGAGTGTCCAAAGCTGCACACGCTTCCATGATGCAGTGAATCTCTCTCTGTCGCCTGTACAGATACAGTCGTCTGCTCCAGCTGCTGTGCCAGTCTAGACTACATCGTCACCTACCTCTTCAAGCACATAGCGAAAGAGGGCAAGAAGCCACTTCGCTGCAGAGAGGCTGCCCAGGCTGGTCAGAGACTATTACATTTTATGCAGCAAAACCCAGATGTCCTGCAGCAGGTAACCTAGCTTAAGAAACAGTGGCCCAGAGGCAGCCTGGTCCCTGAACACCAAGAACAAGCGTTCTTTGTTGTTGTTTTTGTTTCTGTTTTTCAGTTGTTCTCCTTAGACAGACATGACTGCAGAGTGTATTTTGGCGTGTTACACACGCGTGGAGTATGGCTTGTTCTGATGAACATCCTATTCTTAGGGTCGTGCGCCACATGGAGTCTCACTGTGCTGTGTTCACATGTGAACATGGGAAAGCTGTGGGAACAGCCAGCTGACCCAGTAGAGCTTATTCTCTGAGTATTTTCCTTGAAAGTGGGCGTGGCCCCAGGTTCACCCAACCTCAAGAAATCCAGATGTCCTCCACCTCACCTCAGTGAGGCTAGAATTCAAAAACAGACAGTTCTTCCAGAGATCTGAGAAAAAGAGGGCAGAACTGGAACTAGAAGTGGTGATCTCCGATTTCTTTCTGGAGCCTCTGAGGGTGTCGTGTAGTTGCCCTGGTCGGGCTCTGGTGTGTCTTGTGAGGCCACCTCGCCTTTGCTGGGTTCCTAGGCTTTGCCAGGCAGACAGCTAGGCACTGCCACTCATCAGATTATAGTTCGTGTTGCTCCCAATTTAAGATGAGGAGTCACAGTTCAGATAGATGAAAGAATATTCCCAGGAGCATTTACTTAGTAAGTGATAAAACCATATCATTATATTTTCTAATTGGCAAATGGGGTTTAGATTCAACACTGTTCTTTAAAAGTCTTGCAGTTCACAGTGACCATGCCAGGCATGTTTCGAAGAGAATAATGCCATTTTTTATGGCTATATTGCCACTACACTCTTCCGCTAAGTTTGGAATGTAATATTTTTATATTGTTGTTTTCTCTTGCCAAATTATATCCATAATAGTCTTTGATTTGCAAACATAAATACTTCAACAGTGTCTTGCTACAGTGTCATTAGTGAGCAAACAAGTCACCTGCAACCCGCAGAAAAGTCACTGTAAGTAAAAAATGATAAAAATAGCACGGGACAGTATGGACAGGCTTCTTCCTGGCTGTTGTTTTTGCTGATATGGAAATGAAATTGTGTAAACTTTGTCTGTGGGGACATTTCATTTAACCAGTTCTTTTCTGAGGAGGGGGAGGGGAGCATAGTTCATATTTTAAGCAATAGCAGAGGGCTGTCACCCAGAGCTGTTTGTGCAGGTGGGTGATGTCTAGCTCACATCTGTTGAGTACTCACTACACACAAGGGACGGGAGCCGTTCGGACATGGAAGACCTGATTTCTCTCCTTCAAAAGTTCCTTGTCGTGAAGGACAGAGACGAGTAACCAGCCAGTGTTTTGGTAATTCCATGGATACACTGATGACAGGGACGGGGAGGCTCTCTCAGGGGACTTCCCGTTAAGACTCACAACAGCCCTGGAATCTGGATACTACCACCGCACTTGACAGATGCACACACTGAGGGGCAGCAGGGTTACGCAGGAGCGGAACTTTAACCAGGGCTGTTGAGCGCCAATGCCTGGTCCTCACTCCTTACACCGTTGACTATCATGTTGCCGGGTCCCCTGGAATGCCCTCTCCATTAAGGTTTGGTGCTTCTCTCTCCCACCAGCCATCTCCATCCTCAGCCAGATGCAGGGGACTCTGATGGGGTTGGGAGTGTCACAGCCCTTGCGTGTGTTGTGTGGAGAAGGTTGAGAACCACCAACTCAGAGCGAATCCTCGCTGAACAAGATAAATATCTGTGGACTGGCCGGAAAGCAGACCAAGCCCTACCATGGCAAAGAGCAGGTCTACCACCAAGTCCTCCTGCCAGCGTTCAGCCATTTGTCGCAGTATTGCCCCATAAACTTCAGCAGACAGTTGGTAGAAAATATGAGCAAAGTCAGGAGGCTCTGAGCAAGTGCTCAAACCCTGGGAGCCAAGGGTCTTCCTGGGCTACCCTCGTCTGCTGGCTTAAGCCATTTCTGTGTGTTAATGATACTTGGTAATCCTTCACTTTGCAGCATACGACTAAGTAGTGATATATCTTTATTAACAGTGGAATCCATTCTATTTATTTGGAATGTAGGCTTTCAGATAGCATTTTAAATATTAATGACTGGTCTCTGGTAGTCAGCATAAATATGATTTGCATTAGCACCAGGTTGTATCATCTTGAGTGCTCTGATGTCAACTGTTGGGTATAGTAATATCTGACATCATCTCCTCAGGTCACTGACAACTTTGACCTCTATTCTTATGCACAGTTTCTGTCGTCTCAAAAGCTCTTTTGAATTGATTTGAAATTTTGACTCTTCCCTTTATGAGGCAGTAAAATTGATAATTATTCAGATGGGAACTGAGTGCTGAGTGAAAAATCAATTCCACCCGCTCTCTGCTGCGTATAAAATTACTTGTGAGTCGGCTGGACTGAACGGATGGCCAGAGTAAAAGCAGCAGGCAGGGGCAGTGGGAAGAATTAGCTGGACAGAGCGCATAGCCTGAGGGATGGACCTGGAAAAGAGGGAGTGAGCCAGTTGGGGGTTATTATGAGCAGGATGGGTCCCATTGATCATCTGTTTACATCAGCTTTCCAAAACCTTATAAATCAGCCCTGAAGAGCAGCGGGGCCCAAGATTCGGCCTCTTACCGGAGGGACTTTGTATTAGATTATTCTCATTCTCACACTCAGATGAAAAGTGAGCCATTGATTATTCATCGGTTGCCCATTAAAAGCTGTTTTTATAGATGATTTGCCTATCACAGAAGGTAATGAACAAGGTTGTTGCTTCATATCTTGAGGTTTCAGTTTTCAAGGCATCTGTGTGGTTAAGTAATGCCTAACCCTATTAAAAGGAATGGGTTACAAATTGCTTAACAGTGGTGAAAAACTAGACCCTAATGACTAATTGTGCTTGGAGTTTAGAGGGGGTTTGTCAGCTCTTTAAACTAAACTGATGTAATGATACTGCAATTATTTACTACTTTGAACTGCTTTCCTCCAACCTGGACCTGTTTTGCTGGAAGCGGAACTGCAAGAAGAGTGTCAGTTCCAAACTGCAGAAGGTACAGCTCCTCTGACCTGCCGCGACATACAGGGGCCTGCTGAGGGTTCCAGCATCCTCACGGGCCTTCCTGTTTGCGTGCCGCAGCCCGGGAAGGACAGGTTAAGTGCCTCTCACCTGCAAATGTGTTTATTATAAATGGCTCTGTGGCTTTAGCTCATCTCTGGATATTCTTCAGATAAGCCATCTTCCATATTTTGCAACCCAGTCTAACTTGGCAAGCATTAAAGTTTAGTCTGCTTGAAGATTCATTAAGTGAATCTATATCAAGAAAGGATTCTCGCCTCATCAGCACATTTTGACCCGACAGATGAGAGGAGTCCAGTTTACATGAAGAGGGGTGTGACTCCCACAGTGCTGTTATGCCAAGAGTTGGATAAACTAGAACAGACCAACAGTCCCAGGGATCAGGTCACTAACCACCACTGATGGAAAGTAATTTGGAAAGTAGTAGTCGTGTAGTAGTCGTGTGAAATGTTTCAGCACTGGTTGGGGTGTATGCATTGTAACCAGTAGATCAGCATCCACGTAGTTATATCCTGAGTTATAACACAGATTCACCCAAATATGGTGAATGGATGAGCATGTTTTATAGAATTAGAGGAGCACTTCAGAGATGGGGTTGATTCCATTTGAAATGATAAGAATAGGAGGCTGATGCAGAATTCATCTCGAAATCAGAATTCCATTTAAAACTAGGTGCTCTAGAAATAATAGCAGCTTCCACTGAAGTAGAACAAGAATGATGTGATTGTCAGTATCACTGATTAGATTATGCAATTAACTCAAGATATTTTTAGTAATTAGAGTGTCCAACACCCATATCTTTGTGCAGAGGACTAGTTAGATTTGAATTTGTCGCCCTCGTCTATTTATTTAGCTCAAGCCAGCTGTACTAAAGACCCAGAGAAGTTCTAATTATGATTTCCTCTCTCTCTCTCTCTCTCTCTCTCTCTCTCTCTCTCTCTCTCTCTCTCTCTCTTTTTCATTTTTTTTTTATTTATTTTTGCTAACACGACGTTTAACTACAAATTGTGAAGAGCTGTCAGGAGCTGTAAGAATCGTACTTCAGTAGGGATGTAACTGAAAGAACATTCGCCCTTTTCCTCAATCAGTCAGTCAATCAATGAAAATTGCTTTTGTCTAGTGCTCTTCATGACATGCATCCCAAAGTGAATTACAGCAAAAGGGAAATCATCTGCTCTTTTTTCATTTCTGTGTTTAGAGTGAAACGATATTGCTCAACATTTTGACATACTATATGAGACATCTTTCATACTTAAGATGCCATTCCATAATACTAAGTAGGAGAAAGTGCAGTCGCATCTTTAACTGATGTTGAGACTTTGGCCTTAGAACCTCAGCAAGATCCTCACAGTAGAAAATATCTAAGCAGGTAAAACATGGTCACATCTCTTACCCTCTTTAAAAAATAATTAGCCAGATGTCCTAATGTTATGAAAAACTATTTCTTGTGATCCTTAAACAAAAAAGTGTGCCTTTTGTGTAATTTATTAGCTCAGTCTGGTTGATTTGTAGCTTTATTAACAAAAATATATCAGTAAATTGATCTCAAAACCAAACAGAGAGTGTTCCCAATTCGATCAGAGTTGAAGGCAGCCACAGGCCTGTCGTGAGACACTGCAGATAGGAACCCTTCACGGCAGAGCTGTTTTCCACGGTGCTGCTGGGATCCTGGTCCTGTCCACACACCGTGGACACACACAGTGCCAGACACACTGTGTGCTTCTGGGAGAGACAGTATTGGCAGAATGGAAGCACATTTGGGTCGTTTCTTTGCATACTGTTCAGTGAAACTCCTTTACATGTGCCTGACCTGACCTCGTCACTGTGTCCCTGTGAAGGTACAGTCTTGTCATCACCATTTCATGGGTATAAAAACCAAGGCAGGAGGAGACTGAGTAACTGTCCCAGCGTCACAGAGCCCGTGGAGGACACAGTCTC